TAAAACTACTTTTACATATGAATTTTTGGAAAGAATGGCAAAAAGTATTAAACCAGCTCTTTTTGGGAAAACGAAGCCCTTAAAGGAAATGTGGGACATTTAAGATAAAAAACAAATTAAACCTAAAACTTTTAAAAAGTTTTTTGAAGGGCAAAGTGATTCAATAACTTTAAAAACTAAAAACGAAAATTTCCCAAATCATGAGGAGTAACAAAAGTGAGAAAAAAAATATTTTCCAGTCATGGATCACTGGAAAAGTTTACCTTTTTAAGTCCCAGTCCCCCAAATTTTTTAAAGGGTTTTAGAAAAGGGCTGTGTGAAATTCGAATTCAGTTAGTTTAAAATTAGGGGCCGGGGTGTGGGAATCAAACCCCTGATGTTGGGTTGAAAAAACATTTCCTGAAGATGGTTGGAAAAGAAGTAAGGTAATATATTTAGCAGTATTTGGGGAAATCTGTAACAAGTGGCGTTCCACAGGGATCAGCTTGGGCCCCCCGTTGTTTTTTTATAATACATATCAACGATCTTGATGAGGGAATTACTTTTTATATGAAAAAATTCCCCGAGGGACAAAAGATAGGTAGGAAAATTTGTTTCAAAAGTAGTTTTAGGGGAATTCGGGGGGGATTTAAAAAAACTTTATTCTTGGTAGAAAAATGGAGTGCAGTTAAAGGGAGAAAAAAGAAAGGGTTCTAAAGCTTGGGAGTCCCCTTTAACCCAAAGTACTTATAAGTTAAATGATGTGAACTTCCCCATAAGATTGCGAAAAGGATTGGGGGTTATGGTGAGCGGGAAACCTTAAACCAAGGCAGCAATGCCAAAGGTACGTAAAAAAGGCAAATAGTTTACGGGGGATTTATTTTCCAAAAAGTTTTAAGCAACAAAAGCCCAGAGGTCTTATGCAGTTTTTTAATCATTAGTAAGGCTTCCCCCCCCCTAGATTATGCACCCTCAGTTCTGGTCTCCATATTACGGGAATGGCCCATTTTTTCGTTAGAAAACATTAAAGCGTGGGAAAGACTAAATTTTTACTGCATTAGAAATCTTCCTTATGAAAAAAGATTAAAGACTTTTAAAGGGGGGCTTAAAGTTAGACGAAGAATGAGGGGAGACCTGATCAAAGTGAAATAAGTGGAAGATGGGTATTAATAAAAGGGGATTTTAATAAGGTTTTGGGATGTCTCCCCCAAGAGAAACCCGCAGTAATGGTTTAAAAAATTTTAGATAAGTTTAGATTTAAAAAGGCCCCTTTGGAAAAAGTTTTGGGTTTGGGGAAATAGGGTGTAAAAGGTGGAAAAAGTTTTCCCAGTTGGGTTATTGGGCTTGGGGCTTTTGGGGGTTTCAAATTTAGGTTTTGGTAAGTACATGAGTGGGAGGGGTTGGATTTGAGTGGGGCTTCTCCATCAGGCTTAAATTTCCCTTTGGGGGGATTGAAAATTGGGGTTTTGGGGAAAATTTTGTTTTTTGGGGGAGAATTGTAAAAGGGAAAATTTCCCAAATATGGGCCCAAAAGGCCTCCTGCAGTTTCCCCCTTCCTTTTGTTCTTATGTTCTTATGTAAATGAGCGAGGTACTAGCAGGGGGTTTGAAGCTTTAAAATTGTTAAAAAATTTTTTTTTACTAAATAAGGGCTTTTCCCTAGATCGTGAGAAAAAAAAATTGTGTAAGGAGGCTGGACACGGAACCCGCAGACTTGTGAAATACGGCCCACCACTATAATCCCCTTTGGGGCAAGTTTTCCAAAAAAAACTCCATGTGGGAAAAGCCCCCAGTATATCCCGCAATGCTATTAAATTTTATGCAATTTTCTGCACCCCCGTTTTTTAGCCATTAGTATGGCTGAAGTGGGAAAATGGACAGAAGGTTGTTTGTCCCCAGTAAATAAAAACCCCGATATGAAAGGCGAAGTCCTTTTCCCGGGGGTCTACCATTGTCCTTTCAATAACTGCATAAAACTAGGTTTATTATTAAATTTTTTTTTTATTACTATTATTAATATAAAATGGGTTTTTGCCTTTAAAATGATAAAGGGGGTTTTCAGCGCCCCAGGAAATGGGGGGGGGCAAATAGGGGTTTGGGGGGACGAAATAAAAAAACAGTTTCAGTGTCCCTTTGGGTTCCCAAAAGCCCCCTTTCAGGCCCGCAAGGCATCTTCCCGAAAGGGCCTTTGGCCTTTGGGGTTCCATCAAGTCCTTTATGGCCCTTTTTTGTAAATTTAAGTCATACCTTCAATGACTCCCCAAAAAAATTTTTTTTCCTGTGACCTATGCACCACTCAGAGATACTGTAAATTATTTTCAGTTATTTATTTAATACCGAATTATTGATTAATTGGGCTTAAACTCTAGGAACTAATGAGGGGTCATTAAGGATGCATGTTACCTGTTCACCACCAGTCAAGAATACTTAATCTCTGAAATAGGGATTAAAATAAATTCTCAGTATATATTCACAAAGAAACATACGCCTCTCAGTATATATATATACACAGAGACGTACACCTCTTAGTATATATATCCTGTGAATACTGAATTATTTGCAAATATTTCTGGGAAACTTCAAGCAATCAAAATAACTTATAGTTCCCAGTTTTAATACGTAAGGAAGAGAGTTAAGGTGATATAGAAGCGAATGAAAATGTTGGATGTTTCAGGTTCCATCAGTATTTCATAACTATTTGGAAAGCAAACTCCGACTGAACACTTCATCTGCCTTAACACCATTATATCTTTTCGCAATTTAAATTATCGGAACGTGTTAAACTGAATCGTAACTGAGTGACTGGCGCAGTAATGGTCTTCTTAAAATAAAGCTAATATACAATATGAAACAAAATGGATATATGGCGTCACCTATAAATACAATAACTACACAATGACATAAAATAATTAATTAATTCAACTCCACTGTGACTCACAGTATCTGGCTAAAATCCTGTTTATCCAGATTTTTACTATAAAAAAGTAACAACGGGTCTCTGATGGAAAAGCATTTTTTCTTTGAACGTAAAATTCCCTTGATGAATTAATAATTAACTTGGGACATTCATTATTGATAGAGGTTGATTGTCTGGTAAATACTAGACTAGTTGCCTTTGACGCACTCGTGTAATGACGTGTGTTGGTTTCCAGTATAACTTTGTGTGGATTTACCCGAACATGCAATTTAATTCCACAGAGATATAGGAGTTATTAAGACTTTGGTGCTTTCATTGGAACCATGATGTAGATATATTGTTCATTTAACTATGAGATTAGTATTAGAGGGAGGAACAGGTCGGTAGGTTGGTAGGTAGGTAGGGATGGAGGTAGGTAGGTAGGGATGGAGGTAGGTAGGTAGGGATGGAGGTAGGTAGGTAGGTAGGGATGGAGGTAGGTAGGTAGGGATGGAGGTTGGTAGGCAGGATGGAGGTAGGTAGCAGGGATGGAGGTAGGTAGGCAGGGATGGAGGTAGGTAGGCAGGGATGGAGGTAGGTAGGCAGGGATGGAGGTAGGTAGGTAGGGATGGAGGTAGGTAGGTAGGATGGAGGTAGGTAGGCAGGGATGGAGGTAGGTAGGTAGGTAGGGATGGAGGTAGGTAGGTAGGGATGGAGTAGGTAGGTAGGTAGGATGGAGGTGGTAGGTAGGGATGGAGGTTTGGTAGGCAGGGATGGAGGTAGGTAGGCAGGGATGGAGGTAGGTAGGCAGGGATGGAGGTAGGTAGGCAGGGATGGAGGTAGGTAGGTAGGGATGGAGGTATTGAAAGGCAGGGATGAGGAGGTAGGTAGGTAGGGATGGAGGTAAGTAGGTAGGGATGGAGGTAGGTAGGTAGGTAGTAGGGATGGAGGTAGGTAGGTAGGGATGGAGTAGGTAGGTAGGGATGAGGTAGGTAGGTAGGGATGGAGGTAGGTAGGTAGGGATGGAGGTAGGTAGGCAGGGATGGAGGTAGGTAGGCAGGGATGGAGGTAGGTAGGGATGGAGGTAGGTAGGTAGGGATGGAGGTAGGTAGGTAGGGATGGAGGTAGGTAGGCAGGGATGGATGTAGGTAGGAACAAAGGCAGAGAAAAGTAAGATACATACTACACAGGTATTATTCTCATATCTAATCAACCTTAGAACAATGGAAGAACAATGGAATATGACTTTACATTCTGTTATTATTCTGATTTTATATCAAAGTAAGCATATCGAAGACAGAAAAACTTGGCGTAGATAACGGTAAATTTTTGCCTCTGATTTACCTTTGTTGTTCAAAGAACATAAACCTGGTATGACCCAAAGCGTTTGTTATCACCGTCCACAAAAATACACAATCTTAAAAAGTTCTCCTTAGTAGTATAAATGACAGTCTGTTGTGACATTCAAAACAAAGTTTATCTGAATTCGAAAGTGGTAGATAGAGTTGGTTGTAGCGAGTGACAGAGGAAAATGTATTGTGTTTGTAGGATGCAAGAATTTATCGTGGTTGGTTAATTGGGCTTAAAACTTATGGACTACTGAAAGGGTCATTAAGCCTGCAATAGGGATTAAGATAAAATCTCGGTGTATATAGAGAGACATGCACATATCAGTGTATGTATTATGTGAAACAATAAATAGTATTCATTTATATGAAGAGTAATTCTGAAGGCGGTAAAGCTTGTCTAGTGTTGTAATAAGAAGTATTTTAAAGTAAAGATTTCTAAGAGATTCAAGACTTGATCCTAAGCAAGTTTGATGGGCAGTCCTACTCATCTTGCTAAAAAACAAACACCTTTAATGAAAGCATATATCAGTTCAAATTACTGATATGTAATTAATGAGATCAACTCCACTTTTGGCTTTTTCAATGTACAAGCATCATTCCCTTTATAATTACACACATCTACAAGGTGAATTAAATGGGATTTAATGCGCATTTAGTTGTGTTTAGAAAGTATGGTTCCCTTAACAGGGAAATCCGTGTTATACCTCGGTGGAGAAGTCAGTTACATAAATTCGCTGAAAAATCTGTCATACCTCGGCGAGGAAATCCGTGTCATACCTCTGCGGGGAAGGCGTAGTTTGCTATGGTATGCTCGGAGCCTTGCAGATCCCTCTCTCCGAAGTGGAGTCTGAGATGACTGACAGCGTAGGTGTAGGAGAGCGGCCCACCTGACAGGTTGACCGGGGGTCCTGCTGAGCTCTTCACTCTCCACTCTAGACTGTGACCTGTGTTGACCAGCATCCCCTGTACCTGTGTATCAGAGAGAGACTAACCAGTGAATACAAGCAGAATGAAAGATCATGGTGAGACATTTTTAGTTTAACCAGGACCATATTGATCTATGTTGGAAAGCGGGATCAGATATATCTACTCTAAAATTATATCGTAATAAGAATAAAATTTAATCCTTCAATAGTGTCGATAGGAAATATTTAAATTTACCATATATCAACTAAATTAATTGGATGCAATGTATGGGTAATTCTCTTCTTGAATATTGAAAGCAACATCCAGATCCATCAATATAACAAATAACGTACGAAATATTGAAGCGTCTTTAAACACCTATAACTAGATTATAGCAGCTCATCACTTCTCGGTACTCAGAAAATTAATTCCAGTGAAAGTGACAGTATATCCCGCCTACATCTGGCCTAGTTGCTTGTCTTTTATGCTTTAATTAATCGCAATTAAGAAATTTTCTTTAAAATTTTCGGGATGAAAGCATAAATCTTGAATCATGTCAGGAATATTTATGTACAAAAGCGAATTCTAATTAATTGGAAAGTCTTTTGATCATGGATACTACGACCTTCATTAAAGGAAATTTATTAAAAATCTCGTCACTTCTGTAAATATTACAGTACAAACATGAGGTCCTGATCTCAACACCTTCAAAGCGTTTAGAGAATATAAAAAAAGCCTCTTAATATGATGCTAAAATACTTACGCACATCGAAGGTTGTTTATACCGGTACTAATATGAGTTGAGTTGTCCTTAGACAAAATATATTTCCTCCTTCAAGCAAAATATATTGGTGTTGAAAATTTGAAATCGTTAACTCGAACTTTTTATTTAGTTTAACTCGGCGATGTTGTAAGTTTGAAGGTTTGATGAATGGTTTAGAAAACCGACAAGTTGAAGAATTGAGACACTTATGCAACACATGGGAATCTTTACTGAAGAAACGTTTCGCCACACAGTGGCGAAACGTCCAATACAAAGTAGAAATGGGTAAGGAGAGGAGAAGTTTGAGGTAATCAGTCCCTCAACCTGGAATACCTCAAACTTCTCCTCTCCTTACCCATTTCTACTTTGTATTGGACTGATGAAGCCACTGTGTGGCGAAACGTTTCTTCAATAAAGATTCCCATGTGTCGCATAAGTGTCTCAATTCTTCAAGTTTGAAGCTGTTTATAAAGAAAGAAAGGAAGAAGGAAGGAAGGAAGGAAGAAAGAAAGAAAGAAAGAAAGAGTTAAAAGTATAATCGGATAACTCGATTAGGTATCCACGTTTTCTGGGATACCCGATAATTTTCTTATAACAGAAGCTGTAAAACTAGCTGAAAACTACCCAAACAAACTGCCGATAAATACATGAAACAAAACGCTTGCGAAGGTGACTTTTATTGTCTTCCTTAAGTGCTACCTGGAGTCTACCTGAAGTCTACCCGGAGGGTATTCCGGGGGTCAGCGCCCCCGCGGCCCGGTCCTTGACCAGTCCTCTTGGTGAATTAGGGCCTGATCAACTAGGTTGTTACTGCTGGTCACACGTAATCCAACGTACGAACCACAGCCCGGCTGATTGGGTACTGACTGTAGATATTTGTCCAGCTCCCTCTTGAAGGCAGCCAGGGGTCTATTGTTAATTCTTCTTAGTCTTGTGGGAAGCTGTTGGACAGTCCTGGGCTCCGGACACTTACTGTGTTTTCTGTTAGTGTAATAATGGCGCCCTTACTTTTCATTGGGGGCATTTTGCACCGTCTGCCCAGTCTTTTGCTGTCGCAGGGAGTGATTTCTGTGTGCAGATCTGGGACCAGCCCATCTAGGATTTTTCCAGGTATAGATTATGATGTATCTCTCTCGCCTAGTATTTAAACATACTACTACATGAGTTTACTTATTTATCAATTATCGTTTCAGTCAGGTTACATCGTTATCTCATCGTCTTGTTCGCAAAGGTTTAGCAATCATTATCCTTGGAACAGTACGATTAAAAGCTTTACTTACATGTTATTACATTTGTCAAGGTATGTAGTCAGATTTTCTGAGATTTGTAGAATAACGATGGCATTAGGAGCTCTCAAAGTAAAGAATTTCACACCGAATCTACCTATATTACACCTAAGGTAAATATCACCTCCGTCAATGATCGTCATTAGCATAGAATTGTGGAGAGTGTTTGTCTTTTACTGATTCAAGTTAACCACAGTTAGGTCTGACCGTTAACTGAATAGGTGACCGCAGCCTAGCCCCTGACTACAGTGGTCTCGATAAAACTCGGGCTTCCTGTTCTCTATAGCAAATGTTCTTGAAAAAAAAATCATTTAATCTTTTCTCCTACACAGAGAAAACCCAGAATATCATCCAGATAGCCTGGCTTTCTTTCAGAGGCCTGAGTTGCATCTCGACGTGACTAAAAGTACCCTAAATGGAATGTTCCTGGTTGGGACGAAGCCAGATACGATTATATTAGCTAAGTCTCCATAAGTTGTAGAGATAATAATTTAATAATTAAAAATTTAATAATATATAAATAATAATAATAATTATAGATATAATAATAATAATTAATTAAATTATTATTATTATTATATGTAATATAAGAAAGTTGGTAGAATTACCTACAATATTTAAAATAAAAGGACACAAGTGCAATAATGTGACATTTTTATTGTGGCAACGTTTCGCAACGTTTTGGCTTGACAAATCTCCTGGAGAGCGAAACGTTGCACAATAAAAATGTCACATTAGTTGCACTTGTGACCTTTTACTTCACAATTATTATTATTATTATTATTTATTATTATATATATATTATTATTATATTAATAATAATAATAATAATAATAATAATTAATAATAATAATAATAATAAATAATAATAATAATAATATTATTATTATTATTATTATTATTCTTATTCTTATTTATTATTATTATTATTATTATTATTATATTCGTGTATACTGATCCTCATCGGATGAGACTCGTACTTTAAGCCTCAGTTCTAGTTTGTACTAGCCGGTGAACGATCTATCTTAATCCTAGGAGAAATTAGAGGCTGATTAATTTGGATTCAATATGTAATTATTTTACCGACAATTTTTTAGAAATTTATTATTTCTTGGAAGGAAGTGATGTCTAAGAGAATCAACAGATGTCTAGCGAAGGGTGTAGGTAGCAGTATTAATAAGACTCAGGAAGAGAAACTTGGAAAGAAGATGAGGGAGAGGTAAGGTCGAGAGACAGAATTAAAGTATAGGAGTGTTTTGAAAACGATGAAAAAAGACTGAAAAAAGGTTAGGGTATATACCAATGAACGTGAATGTTTTTTTTTCAGTAAATGTGGGTATTAGATCAGTAATGTGATACATGGAGTAGTGGGCACATAACTACCACTCATTCAGAACACCAATGCACCACAACACATAATTATACCATCACATCACACTAGTAGTCGCCCACACATCACACTGCTACACCATCACATAAAGCACAACCAATCTCGTTCTACACACAACACACCCTCATTCTACACTACATAACACCATAAAATATAAAAATACATAGTTGCACCTGTGTTCCGACAGTATGAAGAAGCTCATAAGATTTATTTGTTCGCGAGACAGAAAAGATTAGCAGTCCCACTAGAGTGCAAAACATTTCAAAAGCTTCTGCCGTATAGTGCAAATATGAGTCAAGAGACATGGCAGTGTGTGGAACAAATATCTAAAAGTTACTGTGAACTGGTCTCGGTATAATTCCAGGCAGATTCAGTGCCAATGAATCACATAAAACAGAGAACAGTTTATTCTAACTGATTCAGTCACTTCCCGAGAACAAATACATCGTAGTTGATTCTGACATGAAATTAATAACATACAATCTCTTCTTCACATGTTTTAAAACTCATTTAATTTATATCTCGATTATTCATCACTGAAATCAGATTGTGAGAATCTTTACTAAAGATTTTACGTCCAGAACTGACTGGGAAGCTCTTTAGCATAACATATGACCCACTCAACACGAAATTAAATTTAATTATACAAATCTGATTGAATAACTTCATCCTCAATTTGGCAGCTCATCAGTTTTTGTATGCACACAAAATTAATTTCAGAGAGAGTGGTACAATGCTTTACATATTGAAAGCATGATTTTTAATGGTAATATTATTACTGTTATATAACAAGGTTTTGCATTATCGAGATGAAAGCATAACTGTCACAGGACATATGGACGAATGGATAGAGAATTGAACATTGTGTGTGTGTGTGTGTGTGTGTGTGTGTGTGTGTGTGTGTGTGTGTGTGTGTGTGTGTGTGTGTACTCACCTAATTGTGGTTGCAGGGGTCGAGACTCAGCTCGGGTGTGTGTGTGTGTGTGTGTAAGCATAAATGACAGTCAGTACGGTAAGACAGAAAATGACTGACAACACAGGCACTGCAAATTTAACAAGACAAGAACTCTCTTGTATTAATTAAATGCAAATGCATTCCAGCTCAAAAATATAATTGGACTGAAGCAATCAGTACGAACTGCCACAACGTAAGTGTTAAAATAAAGACAAGATATTAAAATAATTTAAAAAGTGTCTGCATAAATACTCATATTATTCTTGAACTTCTTGACTCAACATGTAACATAAGGGAACAGAAAACAACTGAACAATGATGAAATTAATTAACTCTCATGAAATGAAAATTGATAAATGGTTGAGTCACAGGAGACAATTTGTGGAGAGATTTATCGTGTATATATTCGTTCTTCATATAAGTTGATGTAATGGTTATGGACGCCAACAATAATTCTTAGGGCTTTATTTTTTGTCACTTTTGTCTGTGCATTTATTTTGTAATTGATGTTATACAATACCGACAAGTTGATGAATACAACTCTTAGATATTTTCTTTGGGAAAGCCTTTCTCCTGCACAACAAACTTCTTCAGATGAATACAAGCAAATAAAAAAACTAGAGACAGTAGAAGAAATAGTTTCGTGTTGATCAGTCCCTCAGCTTTATA